AACCTCCTTGATACCTAAGGAGGTACAGCCTCCTAGCTTGGCGGGACTCGCACGTCTACCGCTAACCTCCTAGCTTGGTTGGACTCACACGTCTACCGCTACCGCTATCCCAGAGTCCTCCGGCTAGGACCTAGGGGAGGCTATCTGACCCACCGCTGGCCCGGTGGGTCCTGACCGCTGGGCATGCCGAGCCTTAGCCCTGAGAAGGGCTGGAAGGCCGGGTCCAGGCTTCCTGGCTTCGGTCTCCAGCCCGGGCTTTCGGTCTTCGTGTGGGGAGAGAACTCCCCGTGCTCTGCGTGGTCACCCTCCTTAAACTCGTACTCTTTGGTTTTATTTCGGTAAAGTCACGTAGGTAAAAAAAAAACAAATTTAAAATAAAATAAACAATTAAAACACGACGTTTCGGAGGCAACACAAGCTTCCGTCTTCAGGCGGAAACAGTCACAGCAAAAAATCGCTGCACCAAGTGGCGAAGCTCTGGGAACCTCGGCCTTAAATACAGGTTAAGGGAACGGGGGGGGGGGCATGTAAGGGGACCTTGGTGGGGTGAGGGGCTGAGTTAATCCGTCCTTTGTTGTGTAGAGGGTGCGGGGGAGGGGAGCTCACTATGTGTGTGTGCAATAGAAACGGAACAATAGAAAAATTTAAAGATCGGCAAGAATGTGCTGTAAGGGGGGGGAGAAGAAAACAGGGGAAATGGAAAAGCTTAAATGCCTACGTGAGTTTACCGAATAAAACCAAAGAGTATGAATCCTTGCAGTCACGAAAGCTTCAAATCTAGAGTTAACTTCTTAAACTCGTTTGTGGCCAGGTACAACCAATCACACATTCCCACGTGGAACAGTCTGATTGGTTCTTACCAAACCGTGGCCACGATCCGTTTCACCTCGTCTGACCACCACCGTTTTGTACCCCGAGGTAATGCTGCACCGACCCCTTGATACCTGGTGGCAATGCAGGTTACCTGAATAGTGCGTGGCTAACACCTCTACAGAATCATCACACAGATACCTATAGACTCATCACATAGAGAGCCATAGACTCATCACACAGAGACCCATAGACTCGTCACAAAGAAACCCATAGAATCATCATATAGAGACCCATAGACTCACCACACAGAGACCCATAAACTCATCACACAGAGACCCATAGACTCACCACACATAGACCCATAGACTCATCACATAGAGACCCACAGACTCATCACACAGGGATCCATAGACTCACCACACAGCGCCCATAGACTCATCACAAAGAGACCCATAGACTCACCACACAGAGATCCATAGACTCATCACAAAGATACATATAGCCTCACCACATAGAGACCCGTAGACTCATCACGCAGAGTTCCATAGTCTCACCACACAGAGACCCATAGACTCATCACACAGATACCCACAAACTCACCACACAGAGACCCATAGACTCACCACACAGAGACCCATAGACTCGCCACACAGAGACCCATAGACTCACCACACAGAAACCCATAGACTCACCACAGAGAGACCCATAGACTCATCACACAGAGATCCATAGACTCATCACAAAGATACCTATAGCCTCACCACATAGAGACCCATAGACTCATCACACAGAGACCCATAGACTCACCACACAGAGACCCATAGACTCACCACACAGAGTTCCATAGACTCACCACCCAGAGGCCCATAGACTCGCTACACAAAGACCCATAGACTCATCACACAGAGACCCATAGACTCACCACACAGAGACCGATAGACTCACCACACAGAGACCCATAGACTCCTCACACAGAGACCCATATACTTAATCAACACAGAGACCCACAGAATCGCCACACAGAGACCCAATAGGCTCACCATACAGAGACCCATTGATTCACCACAAAGATACCCATAGACACATCACACAGAGACCCATAGACTGTCATAGATGTTATATTTAAAACTAATTTCTTTAGGAATGCTTGTTGTTGTTGTTGTTGTGTGTTAGGTTGTTGTCATTCCCCCTACGTGCGTCCGGTGCGAAAGAAATTCAACGCTCGCACATCAACGTACAAACAATTCGGCTGCCGTTTTGATAAAGAATGAATCCTTAGGGGCCGTCCATGAATGACGTCACGCGATTGTGGACGATTTTTGACCCCCATCCCCCTCTTCCTCGTCACACGACGTCACAAAAATTCAGACCCACCCCCTCAAACATGACGTCACAAAGCTCTGCCCCCCCCCCCTCCCCCCCCCAAAAAAAAAAACATATTTCCATTTTGAAAATAAAAAATGTTTCAAATCGCTTTAAACTATCGTCATTGTAGTGTGTATTTAATATGGCACTCTGATGTTGTAGGAGTGTTGTTAGAACAATTAGTGTATTAACAATTGTATATTTATATTCTTGGTTCTTTCGGTAAAGTCACGTTGAAGGGAAACAATAAAATTATTAAATATATATTTTATTGTTTCCCTTCAACGTAACTTTAATCAAATATATTTTATTATTTTATTGTTTCCCTTGAACGTAACTTTAATAAAATATATTTTATTATTTTATTGTTTCCCTTCAATGTAACTTTAATAAAAATGTATATTTTATTGTTTTATTGTTTCCCTTCTACGTGGTGGTGACTTTACCGAAAGAACCAAGAATACGAATCACTGCAGTCACGAAAGCTTTAAATCAAAATTGAAATTGTATATTTATTTAAAGTTGCGCATTTTGATGCGACGTCACATTTCTCCACACACCCCCCTCCACCCCCTCGTCAAACATCGTCACAAACGTCTGACCCACCCACCCACCCACCCCACCCCCCAAATCCCCTAGGTTCGTGACGTCATTTATGGACGGCCCCATTAGGGCGGTAACCCCCAGCGGGGTAGCCGAATTAATTTTAAAAAAAAATTGGGGCCGAGGCAATAATATATATATTTTTTTTATTTCTGGGGCGCGATTATTATTTTTTTTCAGTTTTTTTTGTATTTATCCCCAGGGGCGTTACTTCACTCCGCGACTTGGGGTACCGATCAATCAGAAATCTCCGTGCGAACTCCACGACTTCTAAAACGCAGCGAGGGCCATTGCGTTGATATCCTGAACGCTCTCTCTCTCTCTCGCACGCGCGCGCGCGCGCCCCCAATTGATCGGGCGGGATCTCGGTTGACTGGGAATCAAGGCCGCTGTCTGCCCATTCCCCGGCGCTCTCGAAAAGCGAAACCTGAGCGGTCGCCGAGAGGATGAACGGACCTGGCGGTAAATCGATCCCGTCCTTCTTTGCCCGAACGTTGGCGTCAAAAATCCGCCGTCGGAAAAAAAAATGTTGACTTTGAACGGCACATCGTGTGACAGCTCCATACTCTTTGGTTCTATTCGGTAAAGTCACGTAGGTAAAAAAACAACAACAACAATTCTCACGACGTTTCGGCCACAACACAGGCGGCCTTGATCAGGTGAAGGGGACGAGACTGTCTGGTAGGACAGCGCTGGAGCGAACACAGCCAAGCTCAGACCGCGACCTTTAAGCTGTGTGAGAAGGAACAGGGCGCCTTGACAAAGGAATTAGCATAACAATTAGCATTTAATTGGCGGACTTAGCATGATGAACGGTGTAAGAGGGGGTGAACATGTGCAGACCGGCGAGGGGGGGAGTTTACATATTGATGGTGTGAAAAGGGAATTTTAAGCAGCTGCGAAAGATTGGGATGCCACTACTTGAAAAAAAATATACTGTACCATTGAAAATTAGTTTAATATCCTTAGTTCTTTCGGTAAAGTCACGTTATATATATTTTATTATTTTGTTGTTTCCCTTCAACGTGACTTTACCGAAAGAACTTAAGAATATGAATGACTGCAGTCACGAAAGCTTTAAATCAAAAATTCGTTTAATGTTTGGTTTGATTCAGAACATCTTTCCAATGGTTGCTCAATTTGAAACCATCCTCTCGGTTGAAATTGTGTCTGCGCTTGTAGATCTGAATTGCCCCGTGCAGTCACGAAAAGCTTCAAATCTAGAAGTGTAACAGCTCGTCGAGATGAGTCGATTGTCGGATCGGCCGACCATCAACAGCAAGGGCGTAGCCATGGAGTCAACATTGAGGGGGGGGGGGAAATCTTCCAGGGGGCCTGGGGGTACCCCCCCCCCCCCAAATCCCCTAGGAAAAAAAATACAATTTGAAAACTCATTTCCTGCCTAAAATATTTTTTTAAATGCACTAACACATGGAATGGACTTTTTATTTATTTTTTGACAATAATGTCTAATAGTGTATTGTATTATAAATTAAAATTATATTGGTTTAAATTAAAAAAAAAGAAATTTTAATGTATTTATAACAGTTATTATTTAAATACTACGTCTTTAAATGTAAAAAAAATATATGCCTTTTAATTATACTTAGCGTTTAAGTTATAATTCTAGCGAAATATTTTATAATTGTGATTTAATGCATTTAAATAAACAAATAATTCATACTTATAAGTATTTAAACTATAAAAATGTAAATAAGTTATGATTATTATTTGGATTGCATATTGAACTATGATTATTTGAATTAGAAATTACAAATTCTTGGTTCTTTCGGTAAAGTCACGTAGAAGGGAAACAATAAAATAATAAAAATATATAGTTTTATATTTTTAATAAAATGAAATAGTAAAAATATATTGTTTTATATTTTTAATAAAATAATAGTAAAAATATATTGTTTTATAATTTCAATAAAATAAAATAATAATAAATATATTGTTTTATATTTTTATTATTTTATTGTTTCCATTCTACGTAACTTTACAGAAAGAACCAAGAATATGAATCCCTGCAGTCACGAAAGCTTTATATCTAAATTTAGAAATTACAAGTGAAGTATTATATTAATAATTATGGCTTATTTATAATTTAAATAACAAGCATAATTTATTGCAATTATAATTTAAATACTGATTATAATTTAATTATAATATTTAAATAATTTATTGTTATTCGCCCGCGCATCGGAATGGACCGACTTCCGGCCGCCGACTCCTCCTCTTCCGGCGCGTCACTTTTGGGTTTTGTTTCCCGCCAAAAAAACCCCGCGTAATGGCCGACGTCTTCTCACGCGCCGTGGCCCACAAAGTGAGCCGGGCGCGATGGCGCCCCGCGACCCCCGGCTCCCTCGCGGCGCCCGCGGAATTCGCCACGGGCAGCTGGGACGCGCAGGTGAGACAGGGAGACCGCGGCGCCGTCCTCGCGAGGTGTCGCGGCGGTGAAGGCCTAGCGCCGTGTCCGCGGAGCCTACGGAGTCGCCTAGGATTCCTGCGGGGACAGTGCCGAGCTGCTCCGGCTGCGATTCTAGGCGCGGCCGTGGCTTCGCGGTGGTTTGCCCGTCACGTTTGAGGGTTGAATCGGTTCGCCGCGGTCGATGGGCGGTGGGTGACTGGGTGGGTGACTGACTGAGTTAGTGGGTGACTGGGTGAGTGGGTGGGTGAGTGAGTGGATGACTGGGTGAGTGAGTGGGTGAGTGAGTGGGTGACTGGGTGGGTGACTGAGTGGGTGACTGGGTGGGTGACTGACTGAGTTAGTGGGTGACTGGGTGAGTGGGTGGGTGAGTGAGTGGATGACTGGGTGAGTGAGTGAGTGGGTGACTGGGTGGGTGACTGGGTGGGTGACTGAGTGGGTGACTGGGTGGGTGACTGACTGAGTTAGTGGGTGACTGGGTGAGTGGGTGACTGGGTGAGTGAGTGGGTGAGTGAGTGGATGACTGGGTGAGTGGGTGAGTGGGTGGATGAGTGAGTGGATGAGTTAGTGAGTGGGTGACTGAGTGAGTGGGTGACTGAGTGAATGGGTGGGTGACTGAGTGGGTCAGTGGGTCGGTGACTGAGTGAGTGGGTGAGGTGAGTGAATGGGTGGGTGACTGAGTGAGTGGGTGAATGACTGAGTGAGTGACTGACTGAGTGGGTGTGTGAGTGAATGGGTGAGTTGGTGTGTGTGTGTGAGTGAGTGAGTGGGTGACTGAGTGAGTCGGTGACTGAGTGGGTCAGTGAGTCGGTGACTGAGTGGGTGAGGTGAGTGAATGGGTGGGTGACTGAGTGAGTGGGTGAATGACTGAGTGGGTGACTGAGTGGGTGTGTGAGTGAATGGGTGGGTGACTGAGTGAGTGGGTGAGTGAGTGACTGACTGAGTGGGTGTGTGAGTGAATGGGTGAGTTGGTGTGTGTGTGTGAGTGAATGGGTGGGTGACTGAGTGGGTGACTAAGTGAGTGAGTGGGTGAATGACTGAGTGAGTGACTGAGTGGGTGAGTGACTGAGTGATTGGTTGAGTGGGTGAGTGAGTCATTGAGTGAATGGGTGAGTTGGTGTGTGTGTGAGTAGGTAAGTCAAGTGTGTGTGTGAGTGAGTAGGTGGGTGAGTGACACGGGCTAGAGAAGAGATGCAACTGATGCGGTACAGGAGGAACGTGTAGCTGAGTTGACTCGCCGATGACCGGTACCAGCGGTGTCAAGATCGGGCTATGTGGAGGAGGAGGTTCGTAAAGGACGCTGCTGGGCAGTGCCAGGCTAGGTGCACGTTAAGGTTCCTGGGCAGTTGGAGGCAGTCGCCCTCCAGCAACAACGGAGGGCAGGGCACAGGTGGTGCATCTGTCAGTCAACTCATGGAACGTGGGTCTGTCCCGTGACCTCCTGCACCTAGCCTGGCACAGCAGTCAACCCATAGCACCTGGGTCTGTCCCGTGACCACCTGCACCTAGCCTGGCACAGCAGTCAACCCATGGCGCCTGCTGGGTCTGTCCCGTGACCACCTGCACCTAGCCTGGCACAGCAGTCAACCCATAGCACCTGGGTCTGTCCCGTGACCTCCTGCACCTAGCCTGGCACATCAGTCAACCCATAGCACCTGCTGGGTCTGTCCCGTGACCTCCTGCACCTAGCCTGGCACATCAGTCTACCCATGGCACCTGCTGGGTCTGTCCCGTGACCTCCTGCACCTAGCCTGGCACAGCAGTCAACCCATGGCACCTGGGTCTGTCCCGTGACCTCCTGCACCTAGCCTGGCACAGCAGTCAACCCATTGCGGCCTGGGTCTGTCCCGTGACCTCCTGCACCTAGCCTGGCACAGCAGTCAACCCATAGCACCTGCTGGGTCTGTCCCGTGACCTCCTGCACCTAGCCTGGCACAGCAGTCAACCCATGGCGCCTGGGTCTGTCCTGTGACCACCTGCACCTAGCCTGGCACAGCAGTCAACCCATAGCACCTGGGTCTGTCCCGTGACCACCTGCACCTAGCCTGGCACAGCAGTCAACCCATGGCGCCTGCTGGGTCTGTCCCGTGACCACCTGCACCTAGCCTGGCACAGCAGTCAACCCATTGCACCTGGGTCTGTCCTGTGACCACCTGCACCTAGCCTGGCACAGCAGTCAACCCATGGCACCTGCTGGGTCTGTCCCGTGACCCCCTGCACCTAGCCTGGCACAGCAGTCAACCCATGGCACCTGCTGGGTCTATCCCGTGACCTCCTGCACCTAGCCTGGCACCTGCTGGGTCTGTCCCGTGACCTGCACCTAGCCTGGCACAGCAGTCAACCCATGGCACCTTCTGGGTCTGTCCCGTGACCTCCTGCACCTAGCCTGGCACAGCAGTCAACCCATGGCACCTTCTGGGTCTGTCCCGTGACCTCCTGCACCTAGCCTGGCACAGCAGTCAACCCATGGCACCTTCTGGGTCTGTCCCGTGACCACCTGCACCTAGCCTGGCACAGCAGTCAACCCACGGCGGCCTGGGTCTGTCCTGTGACCTCCTGCACCTAGCCTGGCACAGCAGTCTACCCATTGCACCTGGGTCTGTCCCGTGACCTCCTGCACCTAGCCTGGCACAGCAGTCAACCCATGGCACCTTCTGGGTCTGTCCCGTGACCTCCTGCACCTAGCCTGGCACAGCAGTCAACCCATGGCACCTGCTGGGTCTGTCCCGTGACCCCCTGCACCTAGCCTGGCACAGCAGTCAACCCATGGCACCTTCTGGGTCTGTCCCGTGACCTCCTGCACCTAGCCTGGCACAGCAGTCAACCCATGGCACCTGCTGGGTCTGTCCCGTGACCTGTACCTAGCCTGGCACAGCAGTCAACCCATGGCGCCTGGGTCTGTCCTGTGACCACCTGCACCTAGCCTGGCACAGCAGTTAACCCACTGCACCTGGGTCTGTCCTGTGACCACCTGCACCTAGCCTGGCACAGCAGTCAACCCATAGCACCTGGGTCTGTTCTGTGACCTGCACCTATCCTGGCACAGCAGTTAACCAATGGCATATGGGTATGTCCCGTGACCTCCTACACCTCGCCTGGCAAGAGCAGTTAACCCCTGGCACCTGCAGGGTCTGTACTGTGACCTGCACCTAGCCTGGCACAGCAGTCAACCCATGGCACCTGCTGGGTCTGTCCCGTGACCTCCTGCACCTAGCCTGGTACAGCATTCAATACATGGCGCCTGGGTCTGTCCCGTGACCTCCTGCACCTAGCCTGGCACCTGCTGGGTCTGTCCCGTGACCTCCTGCCAGCAGCGAGCCTCCCGACACTTCACGTGTCCGATGACGCGCACGCGTACGCACGCGATGACGTCGCGCGCGATGACGTCGCGCGCGATGACGTCGCGCGCGATGACGTCGCCGGCACGGAATCGGAAGGACAACCCGCTGACGTACACACGCGCGCGCGTGACCGGAACCGCGCAAGGCTTGACGGGGAGAGCGTGAGCTGTTGCGTTTGCTGACGGCTGGTTGTGTGGTTTGCCTTGTGGCCTGTCGCTAGCACGAGAACAAGGTTTGCCTCTGGTCACTGTCGGAGGAGGTGGCCGGGGAGCCCAGAGCCGTGTGTGAGGCCAAGCACAGCGGTGACGTCATGGACATGCAGGCACGGAGACGCACGTGCACGCACAAACGCACACACAAAGATCCCCCGTGTAGCCTTAACGGGGCTGTTGGGGCAAGTGCTGTTAGCGAGCACCCGGGACACGCACACACGCACGCAATGTCTCGCACATCATCAACAACAACAACAACAACCGCCATTCGCCACTAAGTGGCGGTGACGTCACCACGACGCTTGTGCCAGGCCATGTGCACCGTGAGGCCACGTGAAGTGTCTCGCACATGCACACACATGCACACGCGCGTGCACGCACACATGTACATACATGTACACACATGCACAGACATGCACACACACGTACACACGCACAGAGGCAAAGACCCACCGTGTAACCTTAACAGACTGTGATGGCTACCGGCACTGTGGCACACAGTGCCGGTAGCACCACGCCCGCCCGGGCCGCCTTTGTCTCCCCCCAGTTGCTGGCGATGTTCACTGAACACCGCGCCAGGTACTCATTTGAGGCCGAGTCGACCTAGGGGAGGCCCAGGAAACGATTTCAGATCACCGTCACTGGCGGGGTTGGTGGCCGTGAGCTAACCCCACTACACTAGCACACAGACACAACAACAACAACAACAACCGCCATTCGCCACTAAGTGGCGGTGACGTCACCACGACGCTTGTGCCAGGCTATGTGCACCCTGAGGCCACGTGAAGTGTCGAACGCCCGCTGGCAGGAGGTCACGGGGCAGACCCAGCAGGTGCCACGGGTCGACTGACTGAGATGACTAGCACACACAAAGACAAAGACCCCCCCGTATAGCCTTAACAGACTGTAGGGGCAAGTGCTGTTAGCGAGCACCTACGAAGGCCGGAACGGCACACGAGGGGGTGGGTGGCCAGCACCACGCCCGACCGCCTTTGTCTCCCTAGTGGCGATGTTTACTACACACCGCACCAGGTACTCATTTTTAGGCTGAGTCGACCTAGGGGAGGCCCGGGACCGGTTCAGATAATCGTCACTGGTGTTGGCCATGAGCGGGAATCGAACCCGGGTCGCCAGGTTCATAGCGCAGCGTAGCGCTAACCGCTACACTACCGCACGCACGCACACACACACACACACGCACACACACACACACGCACACACACGCACGCACACACACGCACGCACGCCCCCGGGGAAGGACAGTGAGACACGGACAGGCATTGGGAGGCGCGTGGAGGTGTTCAGACGTGAGGGGAGTTGCGGAGAGTAACCGGGAGGCGTGGGAAGACGCGGGGAGGCGGTGGCTAGGAGATGTTGACTCCCTCGCCTGGTGTACAGGAGGTCGTGGGTTTGATCCTGACCCTGACGCCTGCTGCTGCATATTTGGAGTCTGCGTCTCTCTCTCATCATCATCATTATCACTAAGGTGGCTAGGAGATGTTAACTACCTCGCCTGGTATACAGGAGGTCGTGGGTTTGATCCAGACCCTGACGCCTGCCGCCGCCGCTGCTGCATATTTAGAGTCCGCGTCTCTCTCTCATCATCATCATCATTATCACCAAGGTGGCTATGAGATGTTGACTACCTCGCCTGGTGTACAGGAGGTCTGTGTCTCTCTCTCATCATCATTATCACCAAGGTGGCTAGGAGATGTTAACTACCTCGCCTGGTATACAGGAGGTATGTGTCTCTCTCTCTCATCATCATCACTAAGGTGGCTAGGAGATGTTAACTACCTCGCCTGGTGTACAGGAGGTCTGTGTCTCTCTCATCATCATCATCACAGTGGCTATGAGATGTTGACTACCTCGCCTGGTCTACAGGAGGTCTGTGTCTCTCTCATCATCATCATCACGGTGGCTATGAGATGTTAACTACCTCGCCTGGTCTACAGGAGGTCTGTGTCTCTCTCATCATCATCATCACGGTGGCTAGGAGATGTTAACTACCTCGCCTGGTATACAGGAGGTCGTGGGTTTGATCCAGACCCTGCCGCCGCCGCCGCTGCTGCTGCATATTTAGAGTCTGCGTCTCTCTCTCATCATCATCATTATCACTAAGGTGGCTAGGAGATGTTGACTACCTCGCCTGGTGTACAGGAGGTCGTGGGTTTGATCCAGACCCTGACGCCTGCTGCTGCATATTTGGAGTCTGCGTCTCTCTCTCTCATCATCATCATCATCACTAAGGTGGCTAGGAGATGTTGACTACCTCGCCTGGTGTACAGGAGGTCTGTGTCTCTCTCATCATCATCATCACAGTGGCTATGAGATGTTGACTACCTCGTCTGGTATACAGGAGGTCTGTGTCTCATCATCATCACAGTGGCTTTGAGATGTTGACTACCTCGCCTGGTATACAGGAGGTCTGTGTCTCTCTCATCATCATCATCATCACGGTGGCTAGGAGATGTTGACTACCTCGCCTGGTATACAGGAGGTCGTGGGTTTGATCCCGACCCTGACGCCCGCCGCCGCTGCTGCTGCATATTTAGAGTCCGCGTCTCTCTCTCTCTCATCATCATTATCACCAAGGTGGCTAGGAGATGTTAACTACCTCGCCTGGTGTACAGGAGGTCTGTGTCTCTCTCATCATCATCATCATCACAGTGGCTATGAGATGTTGACTACCTCGCCTGGTATACAGGAGGTCTGTGTCTCTCTCATCATCATCATCACAGTGGCTATGAGATGTTGACTACCTCGCCTGGTCTACAGGAGGTCTGTGTCTCTCTCATCATCATCATCATCACGGTGGCTAGGAGATGTTGACTACCTCGCTTGGTCTACAGGAGGTCTGTGTCTCTCTCATCATCATCATCACGGTGGCTAGGAGATGTTAACTACCTCGCCTGGTATACAGGAGGTCGTGGGTTTGATCCAGACCCTGCCGCCGCCGCCGCTGCTGCTGCATATTTAGAGTCTGCGTCTCTCTCTCATCATCATCATCATTATCACTAAGGTGGCTAGGAGATGTTGACTACCTCGCCTGGTGTACAGGAGGTCTGTGTCTCTCTCATCATCATCATCACAGTGGCTATGAGATGTTGACTACCTCGTCTGGTATACAGGAGGTCTGTGTCTCATCATCATCACAGTGGCTTTGAGATGTTGACTACCTCGCCTGGTATACAGGAGGTCTGTGTCTCTCTCATCATCATCATCATCACGGTGGCTAGGAGATGTTGACTACCTCGCCTGGTATACAGGAGGTCGTGGGTTTGATCCCGACCCTGACGCCCGCCGCCGCTGCTGCTGCATATTTAGAGTCCGCGTCTCTCTCTCTCATCATCATTATCACCAAGGTGGCTAGGAGATGTTAACTACCTCGCCTGGTGTACAGGAGGTCTGTGTCTCTCTCATCATCATCATCATCACAGTGGCTATGAGATGTTGACTACCTCGCCTGGTATACAGGAGGTCTGTGTCTCTCTCATCATCATCATCACAGTGGCTATGAGATGTTGACTACCTCGCCTGGTCTACAGGAGGTCTGTGTCTCTCTCATCATCATCATCATCACGGTGGCTAGGAGATGTTGACTACCTCGCTTGGTCTACAGGAGGTCTGTGTCTCTCTCATCATCATCATCACGGTGGCTAGGAGATGTTAACTACCTCGCCTGGTATACAGGAGGTCGTGGGTTTGATCCAGACCCTGCCGCCGCCGCCGCTGCTGCTGCATATTTAGAGTCTGCGTCTCTCTCTCATCATCATCATCATTATCACTAAGGTGGCTAGGAGATGTTGACTACCTCGCCTGGTGTACAGGAGGTCTGTGTCTCTCTCATCATCATCATCACAGTGGCTATGAGATGTTGACTACCTCGTCTGGTATACAGGAGGTCTGTGTCTCATCATCATCACAGTGGCTTTGAGATGTTGACTACCTCGCCTGGTATACAGGAGGTCTGTGTCTCTCTCATCATCATCATCATCACGGTGGCTAGGAGATGTTGACTACCTCGCCTGGTATACAGGAGGTCGTGGGTTTGATCCAGACCCTGACCCGTGTCGCCGCCGCCGCCGCTGCTGCTGCATATTTAGAGTCCGCGTCTCTCCCTCTCCCCGTGGCACCACGGCTTTCTCCCTCCGGCTCCCTCCGGTTTTGGAGCCGACGCCCGCCGAAAAACCGTGCCGCGCGGTGGTAACCCTTCCCAGCCTCACGCGGCCTGCTTTACAGATGACACGCACGTACTCAAACGGAGCGGCGGGGAAGTTGTTGAGATCCCGGCTTCTAATGAATCCTCATCCCTGCCCCCCCCCAATATCTCCCCCTTGACAGTTTTTGGATCGGCAGAGCGTGATAACGGCTTCGTCGGTGGGCTCGCTCGCAATCCTGACGATACCAGACGACGGCAAGGTGAGCCCTCGCCGGGTGAACGCGACGGGAGGGACGCTCGTGCTGTTGTGTAATGGTGGCGTTACGATGTCATCGTCATCATCGTCATCGCCATCGCCATCACCACGGTGGACTAGGAGATGTTGACTGCCTCGCCCGGTGTACAGGAGGTCTGTGTCTCTCATCATCATCATCACAGTGGCTATGAGATGTTGACTGCCTCGCCTGGTGTACAGGAGGTCGTGGGTTCGATCACGAATCTGATGCCTGCTGCTGCTGTATGTTTGGAGTTTGCGGTGTCTCTCTCTCTGTCATCATCATCACCACGGTGGCTAGGAGATGGTGACTACCTCGCCTGGTGTGCAGGAGGTCTGTGTCTCTCTCTCATCATCATCATCACGGTGGCTATGAGATGTTGACTACCTCGCCCGGTCTACAGGAGGTCTGTGTCTCTCTCTCATCATCATCATCACGGTGGCTATGAGATGTTGACTACCTCGCCTGGTCTACAGGAGGTCTTTGTCTATCTGTCATCATCACCACAGTGGCTATGAGATGTTGACTACCTCGCCTCCTATACAGGAGGTCGTGGGTTCGATCCCGACCCTGTCGCCTGCTGCTGCTGCTGTATATTTGGAGTTTGCAGTGCGTCTCTCTGTCTCTCTCCCCGGCTCCTCCGATTTTTAAACTTCCACTTTTATAATCAACATCGGCACGCGTTTAGAGTGTTTTTGGCAGCTGCCATAAACTTCCACGTGATCATCATCACCATCATGATGATCATGATGATCATCATCATGCTGATGATGATGACGACGACGATAAACCCACTAGCGTAGAACTGCTGTAAATTCGCGATGGCCAGGGAGCTGCGAGACCCACCCTCCCCCCCCCGTGCCCCGGCAAAATAAAACAATAAATAAAACAAATTTTTTTTTTAAAAAGCTCACGGGGTTTGAGCTCCAAGATCGGAGCCCAAATGGAGACTCGAGGAAACCGAAGCTTGGTCCCAGAGGGACCGGATCGAGAGGTCAGGGTGGGTCGGGGGAGGGGAAAGCTGGATCTAAGCATCGATGCTCACACGCCACGGTCTTGTGTGTCGTCCCCTGTGTCGTCCCCCTGTGTGTCGTCCCCTGTGTCGTCCCCGTGTGTGTGTGTCGTCCTCTGTGTCGTCCCCCTGTGTGTGTCGTCCCCTGTGTCGTCCCCTGTGTGTGTGTCGTCCCCTGTGTGTGTGTCGTCCCCTGTGTCGTCCCCTGTGTCGTCCCCTGTGTGTCGTCCCCTGTGTGTGTGTCGTCCCCTGTGTCGTCCCCTGTGTCGTCCCCTGTGTGTCGTCCCCTGTGTGTGTGTCGTCCCCTGTGTCGTCCCCTGTGTCGTCCCCCTGTGTGTCGTCCCCTGTGTCGTCCCCTGTGTGTGTGTCGTCCCCTGTGTCGTCCCCTGTGTGTGTGTCGTCCCCTGTGTCGTCCCCTGTGTGTGTGTCGTCCCCTGTGTCGTCCCCTGTGTGTGTGTCGTCCCCTGTGTCGTCCCCTGTGTGTCGTCCTCTGTGTCGTCCCCGTGTGTGTCGTCCCCTGTGTGTCATCCCCTGTGTCGTCCCCTCTGTGTCGTCCCCTGTGTGTCGTCCCCTGTGTGTCGTCCCCTGTGTGTGTGTCGTCCCCTGTGTCGTCCCCTGTGTGTCGTCCTCTGTGTCGTCCCCGTGTGTGTCGTCCCCTGTGTGTCATCCCCTGTGTCGTCCCCTCTGTGTCGTCCCCTGTGTGTCGTCCCCTGTGTGTCGTCCCCTGTGTGTGTGTCGTCCCCTGTGTCGTCCCCTGTGTGTCGTCCTCTGTGTCGTCCCCGTGTGTGTCGTCCCCTGTGTGTCATCCCCTGTGTCGTCCCCTCTGTGTCGTCCCCTGTGTGTCGTCCCCTGTGTGTCGTCCCCTGTGTGTCGTCCCCTGTGTCGTCCCCTGTGTCGTCCCCTGTGTCGTCCCCTGTGTCGTCCCCCTGTGTCGTCCCCTGCGTCGTCCCCTGTGTCGTCCCCTGTGTCGTCCCCTGTGTCGTCCCCTGTGTCGTCCCCTGTGTCGTCCCCGTGTGTGTCGTCCCCTGTGTCATCCCCTGTGTCATCCCCTGTGTGTCGTCCCCTGTGTCGTCCCCTGTGTGTCGTCCCCTGTGTCGTCCCCTGTGTCGTCCCCTGTGTGTGTGTCGTCCTCTGTGTCGTCCCCTGTGTCGTCCCCCTGTGTGTCGTCCCGTGTGTCGTCCTCTGTGTCGTCCCCTGTGTGTCGTCCCCTGTGTCGTCCCCTGTGTGTCGTCCCCTGTGTCGTCCCCTGTGTCGTCCCCTGTGTCGTCCCCTGTGTCGTCCCCTGTGTCGTCCCCTGTGTGTCGTCCCCTGTGTCGTCCTCTGTGTCGTCCTCTGTGTCGTCCCCTGTGTCGTCCCGTGTGTCGTCCCCCTGTGTGTCGTCCCCTGTGTCGTCCTCTGTGTCGTCCCCCTGTGTGTCGTCCCCTGTGTCGTCCCCCTGTGTGTCGTCCCCTGTGTGTCGTCCCCTGTGTCGTCCCGTGTGTCGTCCCCTGTGTCGTCCCCCTGTGTGTCGTCCCCTGTGTCGTCCCCTGTGTGTCGTCCCCTGTGTCGTCCCCCCTGTGTGTCGTCCCTGTGTCGTCCCCTGTGTCGTCCCCTGTGTCGTCCCCTGTGTGTCGTCCCCTGTGTCGTCCCCTGTGTCGTCCCCTGTGTCGTCCTCTGTGTCGTCCCCTGTGTCGTCCCCTGTGTGTCGGTCCCCTGTGTGTCGTCCCCTGTGTCGTCCTCTGTGTCGTCCCCTGTGTCGTCCCCCGTGTCGTCCCGTGTGTCGTCCCCCCCTGTGTCTTCCCCTGTGTGTCGTCCCCTGTGTCGTCCCCGTGTGTGTCGTCCCCTGTGTGTCGTCCTGTGTGTCGTCCCCTGTGTCGTCCCCTGTGTCGTCCCCGTGTGTGTCGTCCCCCGTGTCGTCCCCCGTGTCTTCCCCTGTGTCGTCCCCTGTGTCGTCCCTGTGTGTCGTCCCCTGTGTGTCGTCCCCTGTGTCGTCCCCGTGTGTGTCGTCCCCCGTGTCGTCCCCCGTGTCTTCCCCTGTGTCGTCCCCTGTGTCGTCCCCTGTGTCGTCCCCTGTGTGTCGTCCCCCTGTGTGTCGTCCCCGTGTGTGTCGTCCCGTGTGTCGTCCCCTGTGTCGTCCTCTGTGTCGTCCCCGTGTGTGTCGTCCCCTGTGTCGTCCTCTGTGTCGTCCTCTGTGTCGTCCCCTGTGTGTCGTCCCCCTGTGTCGTCCCCCTGTGTGTCGTCCCCTGTGTCGTCCCCCTCTGTGTCGTCCCCTGTGTCATCCCTGTGTCGTCCTCTGTGTCGTCCCCTGTGTCGTCCCCTGTGTCGTCCCTCTGTGTCGTCCCCGTGTGTGTCATCCCCTGTGTCGTCCCCTGTGTCGTCCTCTGTGTGTCGTCCTCTGTGTCGTCCCGTGTGTCGTCCCCTGTGTGTCGTCCCCTGTGTCTTCCCCTGTGTCGTCCCCTGTGTCGTCCCCTGTGTCGTCCCCTGTGTCGTACCCTGTGTGTCGTCCCCTGTGTCGTCCCCTGTGTCGTCCCCTGTGTCGTCCCCCTGTGTGTCGTCCCCTGTGTGTCGTCCCCTGTTTCGTCCCCCTGTGTGTCGTCCCCTGTTTCGTCCCCCTGTGTGTCCCCCCTGTGTCGTTCCCCTGTGTCGTCCCCCTGTGTGTCGTCCCCTGTGTCGTCCCCCTGTGTGTCGTCCCGTGTGTCGTCCCCTGTGTCGTCCCCTGTGTCGTCCCCTGTGTCGTCCTCTGTGTCGTCCCCTGTGTCGTCCCCTGTGTCGTCCCCCTGTGTGTCGTCCCCCTGTGTGTCGTCCCCCTGTGTGTCGTCCCCTGTGTGTCGTCCCCTGTGTCGTCCCCGTGTGTGTCGTCCCCTGTGTCGTCCCGTGTGTGTCGTCCCCTGTGTCGTCCCCTGTGTGTCGTCCCCTGTGTCGTCCCCGTGTGTGTCGTCCCCTGTGTGTCGTCCCCTGTGTCGTCCCCTGTGTGTCGTCCCCTGTGTCGTCCCCGTGTGTGTCGTCCCCTGTGTCGTCCCCCTGTGTGTCGTCCCCTGTGTTGTCCCCTGTGTCGTCCCCTGTGTGTCGTCCCCTGTGTCGTCCCGCGTGTCATCCCCCTGTGTGTCGTCCCTTGTGTCGTCCCCTGTGTCGTCCCCTGTGTCGTCCTGTGTGTCGTCCTGTGTGTCGTCCCCTGTGTGTCGTCCCCTGTGTCGTCCCCCTGTGTCGTCCCCTGTGTCGTCCTGTGTGTCGTCCTGTGTGTCGTCCCCTGTGTGTCGTCCCCTGTGTCGTCCCCTGTGTCGTCCCCCTGTGTGTCGTCCCGTGTGTCGTCCCCTGTGTCGTCCCCTGTGTCGTCCCCTGTGTCGTCCTCTGTGTCGTCCCCTGTGTCGTCCCCTGTGTCGTCCCCCTGTGTGTCGTCCCCCTGTGTGTCGTCCCCTGTGTCGTCCCCTGTGTCGTCCCCCTGTGTGTCGTCCCCCTGTGTCGTCCCCTGTGTGTCGTCCCCTGTGTCGTCCCGCGTGTCATCCCCCTGTGTGTCGTCCCTTGTGTCGTCCCCTGTGTCGTCCCCTGTGTCGTCCTGTGTGTCGTCCTGTGTGTCGTCCCCTGTGTGTCGTCCCCTGTGTCGTCCCCCTGTGTCGTCCCCTGTGTCGTCCTGTGTGTCGTCCCCTGTGTGTCGTCCCCTGTGTCGTCCCCTGTGTGTCGTCCCCTGTGTCGTCCTGTGTGTCGTCCTGTGTGTCGTCCTGTGTGTCGTCCCCTGTGTCGTCCCCTGTGTCGTCCCCTGTGTCGTCCCCTGTGTGTCGTCCTGTGTGTCGTCCCCTGTGTGTCGTCCCCTGTGTCGTCCCCTGTGTCGTCCCCTGTGTCGTCCCCCTGTGTGTCGTCCCCTGTGTCGTCCCCTGTGTCGTCCCCTGTGTCGTCCCCCTGTGTCGTCCCCTGTGTCGTCCCCTGTGTGTCGTCCCCTGTGTCGTCCCCTGTGTGTCGTCCCCTGTGTCGTCCCCTGTGTCGTCCCCCTGTGTCGTCCCCTGTGTCGTCCCCTGTGTGTCGTCCCCTGTGTCGTCCCCTGTGTGTCGTCCCCTGTGTCGTCCCCTGTGTCGTCCCCTGTGTCGTCCCCTGTGTGTCGTCCCCTGTGTCGTCCCCGTGTGTGTCGTCCCCTGTGTGTCGTCCCCTGTGTCGTCCCCCTGTGTGTCGTCCCCTGTGTCGTCCCCTGTGTCGTCCCCTGTGTCGTCCCCTGTGTCGTCCCCTGTGTCGTCCCCATGTGTCTTCCCCATGTGTCGTCCCCTGTGTCTTCCCCATGTGTGTCGTCCCCTGTGTCGTCCCCTGTGTCGTCCCCTGTGTGTCGTCCCCTGTGTGTCGTCCCCTGTGTCGTCCCCTGTGTCGTCCCCTGTGTCGTCCCCCTGTGTGTCGTCCCCCTGTGTGTCGTCCCCCTGTGTGTCGTCCCCCTGTGTGTCGTCCCCCTGTGTGTCGTCCCCCTGTGTGTCGTCCCCTGTGTCATCCCCTGTGTCGTCCCCTGTGTGTCGTCCCCCCCTGTGTGTCGTCCCCCCCATGTGTGTCTCTCCACCATCACCACCCCTCTCCACCCTGCTTCCCCCTACCGTGCGTCAACCCCACCACCACCACAGACCCTCCGCGCGCCTCGCTGCTTACCCGTGCACCGGGGGGTCTGCACGTCCGTGTCGGCGCGGGGACAGCAAGCGGCCTCGGTGGGCGAGGACGGCCTCCTGGCCCTCGTGGACGTCGCCGTGGCGACGGTGCTGCGCCGCTACGGTGCCCGTGCCGTGCCGTGCCGGGGCGGTGGGGTTGGTGGGTGGGTGGGTGGGTGGTGGGGTTGGTGGGTGGGTGGGTGGGTGGGGTTGGTGGGTGGGGTGGGTGGTGGGGTTGGTGGGTGGGTGGGTGGTGGGGTTGGTGGGTGGGTGGGTGGTGGGGTTGGTGGGTGGGTGGTGGGGTTGGGGTTGGTGGGTGGGTGGGTGGTGGGGTTGGTGGGTGGGTGGGTGGTGGGGTTGGTGGGTGGGGTGGGTGGGTGGGGTTGGTGGGTGGGTGGGTGGTGGGGTTGGTGGGTGGGTGGGTGGTGGGGTTGGTGGGTGGGTGGGTGGGTGGTGGGGTTGGTGGGTGGGTGGGTGGTGGGGTTGGTGGGTGGGTGGGTGGTGGGGTTGGTGGGTGGGTGGGTGGTGGGGTTGGTGGGTGGGTGGGTGGTGGGGTTGGTGGGTGGGTGGGGTTGGTGGGTGGGTGGGTGGTGGGGTTGGTGGGTGGGTGGGGTGGTGGGGTTGGTGGGTGGGTGGGTGGTGGGGTTGGTGGGTGGGTGGGTGGTGGGGTTGGTGGGTGGGTGGGTGGTGGGGTTGGTGGGTGGGTGGGTGGTGGGGTTGGTGGGTGGGTGGTGGGGTTGGGGTTGGTGGGTGGGTGGGTGGTGGGGTTGGTGGGTGGGTGGGTGGTGGGGTTGGTGGGTGGGGTGGGTGGGTGGGGTTGGTGGGTGGGTGGGTGGTGGGGTTGGTGGGTTGGTGGGTGGGTGGGGTTGGTGGGTGGGTGGGTGGTGGGGTTGGTGGGTGGGTGGGGTGGTGGGGTTGGTGGGTGGGTGGTGGGGTTGGTGGGTGGGTGGGTGGTGGGGTTGGTGGGTGGGTGGGTGGTGGGGTTGGTGGGTGGGTGGGGTGGTGGGGTTGATGGGTGGGTGGGTGGTGGGGTTGGTGGGTGGGTGGGTGGTGGGGTTGGTGGGTGGGTGGGTGGGTGGGTGGTGGGGTTGGTGGGTGGGTGGGTGGTGGGGTTGGTGGGTGGGGTGCCGTCGCCGACGCGGTGCCGCCAAACCGAAAGCTTTGGCCTGGCGTTTGCCGCCGCGTTTTGGTTTTTGTCGAGTTCAGCTTCCGGGAGGGAGGGAGGGGGGGGGGGGGTTTCTCTCTTGGCGGCAAACGGGCGGCGCTCAAACGGTGCCGTGCCGTGGGCCCCCGCCGTGCCCCCGCTTGCACCGTGTGGAGTGTAGCGGGTGCTGTGCTACTGTGTGTGCTGTGTGCGTGTGTGTGCTGTGTGTGTGTACTGTGTGTACTGTGTGTGTGCTGTGGGTACTGTGTGTGCTGTGGGTACTGTGTGTACGTGTGTGCTGTGGGTACTGTGTGTACGTGTGTGCTGTGGGTACTGTGTGTGCTGTGTGTGCTGTGTGCTGTGGGTGTGTGTGCTGTGTGTGTGTACTGTGGTAGTGTGTGTGCTGTGTGTGTGTACTGTGTGTACTGTGTGTGTGCTGTGGGTACTGTGGGTACTGTGTGTGTACTGTGGGTACTGTGTGCTGTGTGTGTGTGGGTACTGTGGGTGTGCTGTGTGTGTGTGTGTACTGTTTGTGCTGTGTGTGTACTGTGTGTGTGTGTACTGTGTGTGTGTGTACTGTGGGTGTGCTGTGTGTGTGCTGTGTACTGTGTGTGCTGTGTGTGTACTGTGTGTGTGTGTACTGTGTGTGTGTGTACTGTGTGTGCTGTGGTGTGCTGTGGTAGTGTGTGTGCTGTGTTTGTGTGTGCTGTGGTGTACTGTGTGTGTGCTGTGTGTACTGTGGTAGTGTGTGTGCTGTGTGTGCTGTGTGTGCTGTGTGTACTGTGGTAGTGTGTGTGCTGTGTGTGCTGTGTGTACTGTGTGTGTGTGTACTGTGGGTACTGTGTGCTGTGGTAGTGTGTGTGCTGTGTGTGCTGTGTGTACTGTGGGTACTGTGTGCTGTGGTAGTGTGTACTGTCTGTGTACCGCGTGTGTGTACCTTGTGTGTGTACCGTGCGTACCGTGTGTGTGTACTGTGTGTACCGTGTGTACCGTGTGTGTGTACTGTGTGTACCGTGTGTACCGTGTGTGTGTACTGCGTGTGTGTACCGCGTGTGTGTACCTTGTGTACCGTGTGTGTGTGCTGCGTGTGTACCGTGTGTACCATGTGTACCGTGTGTGTGTACCGTGTGTGTGTACCGTGTGTGTGTACTGTGTGTACCGTGTGTGTGTACCGTGTGTGTGTACTGTGTGTACCGTGTGTGTGTACTGCGTGTGTGTACCTTGTGTACCGTGTGTGTGTACCACATGTGTACTATGTGTACCGTGTGTGTGTGCTGTGTGTGTACGGTGTGTGTACCGCATGTGTACTGTACGTGTGTGTACCGTGTGTGTGTACCGTGTGTGTGTACCGTGTGTGTACTGCGTGTGTACTATGTGTACCGTGTGTGTGTACCGTGTGTGTACTGCGTGTGTACTATGTGTACCGTGTGTGTGTACCGTGTGTGTGTACCGTGTGTGTACCGTGTGTGTACTGCGTGTGTACTATGTGTACCGTGTGTGTGTACCGCGCGTGTGTGTACCGTGTGCATGTGTACCGTGCGTGTGTACTGCGTGTGTACCGTGTGTGTGTACCGTGCGTGTTTGTACCTTGCGTGTGTGTACCGTGTGTGTGTACCGTGCGTGTGTGTACCGTGCGTGTGTGTACCGTGCGTGTGTGTACCGTGTGTGTGTACCGTGTGTGTGTGTACCGTGTGTGTGTAACGCGTGTGTGTACCGTGTGTGTGTACCTTGTGTGTGTGTACCGTGTGTGTACCGCGTGTGTACCTTGTGTGTGTGTACCTTGTGTGTGTGTACCGTGTGTGTACCGTGTGTGTGTACCGTGTGTGTACCGTGTGTGTACTGTGTGTGTACCGTGTGTGTGTACCGCGTGTGTACAGTGTGTGTACCGTGTGTGTGTACCTTGCGTGTGTGTACCGTGTGTGTGTTTACCGCGCGTGTGTACTGCGTGTGTACCGCGTGTGTAGCGTGTGTGTGTACCGTGCGTGTGTGTACCTTGCGTGTGTGTACCGTGTGTGTAGCGTGTGTGTACCGTGTGTGTACCTTGTGTGTGTACCGTGCGTGTGTGTACCTTGTGTGTGTGTACCGCGTGTGTGCGATGTGTGTGTACCGTGCGTGTGTACCGTGTGTGTGTGTACCGTGCGTGTGTGTACCGTGTGTGTGTACCGTGTGTGTAGCGTGTGTGTACCGTGTGTGTACCTTGTGTGTGTACCGTGCGTGTGTGTACCTTGTGTGTGTGTACCGCGTGTGTGCGATGTGTGTGTACCGTGCGTGTGTACCGTGTGTGTGTGTACCGTGTGTGTGTGTACCGTGTGTGTAGCGTGTGTGTACCGTGTGTGTACCTTGCGTGTGTACCGCGTGTGTAGCGTGTGTGTACCGTGCGTGTGTGTACCGTGTGTGTACCGTGTGTGTGTGTACCGTGTGTGTACCGTGCGTGTGTAGCATGTGTGTACCGTGTGTGTGTACCGTGTGTGTACCGTGTGTGTGTACCGTGTGTGTGTACCATGTGTGTGTACCGTGTGTGTGTGTACCGTGCGTGTGTACCGTGCGTGTGTACCACGTGTGTACCGTGTGTGTAGCGTGTGTGTACCGTGTGTGTAGCGTGTGTATACCGTGTGTGTACCGTGTGTGTGTACCGTGTGTACCGTGTGTGTGTACCGTGTGTGTGTGTACCGTGCGTGTGTGTACCGTGTGTGTGTGTACCGTGCGTGTGTGTACCGTGCGTGTGTACCGTGCGTGTGTGTACCGTGCGTGTGTGTGTACCGTGCGTGTGTACCGTGTGTGTGTGTACCGTGTGTGTGTGTACCGTGTGTGTAGCGTGTGTGTACCTTGTGTGTGTACCGTGCGTGTGTGTACCGCATGTGTGCGATGTGTGTGTACCGTGCGTGTGTGTACCGTGTGTGTGTACCGTGTGTGTGTACCGTGTGTGTGTGTACCGTGTGTGTGTGTACCGTGTGTGTGTGTACCGTGTGTGTTTGTACCGTGTGTGTGTGTACCGTGTGTGTGTACCGTGTGTGTGTACCGTGTGTGTACCGTGTGTGTACCGTGTGTGTGTACCGTGTGTGTACCGTGTGTGTGTGTACCGTGTGTGTGTGTACCGTGTGTGTGTGTACCGTGTGTGTACCGTGTGTGTGTGTACCGTGTGTGTGTACCGTGTGTGTAGCGTGTGTATACCGTGTTTGTACCTTGCGTGTGTGTACCGTGTGTGTGTGTACCGTGTGTGTAGCGTGTGTATACCGTGTTTGTACCTTGCGCGTGTGTACCGTGTGTGTGTGTACCGTGCGTGTGTGCGATGCACAGACTGGGCGGACTGCACGTCCCTGCATGCCGTGCGGCACGCCACCTCATCGGGCGTCCTTGCCGTCAACTCGCTGGGCCAGCTGAAGCACTGGGACATGCGCAGAGACGACCTGGAGCCCACCGCCATCATGGCCTCGTGAGTGTGTGTGTGGTGTGTGTGTGTGGTGAGTGTGTGTGGTGTGTGTGTGGTGTGTGTGGTGTGTGTGTGTGGTGTGTGTGTGTGAGTGTGGTGTGTGGTGTGTGGTGTGTGTGTGTGGTGTGTGGTGTGTGTGTCTGTGTGTGTGTGGTGTGTGTGTCTGTGTGGTGTATGTGAGTGTGTGTCTGTGTGGTGTGTGTGTCTGTGTGGTGTGTGTGTGTGTGGTGTGTGTGTAGTGTGGTGTGTATGTGTGTGTGTGGTGTGTGTGTCTGTGTGGTGTGTGTGTGTGTCTGTGTGTGTGGTGTGTGTGGTGTGTGTGTCTGTGTGGTGTGTGTGGTGTGTCTGTCTGTGTGGTGTGTGTGTGGTGTGTGTGTGTCTGTGTGGTGAGTGTGTGGTGTGTGTGTGTGTGTCTGTCTGTGTGTGTGTGTGTGTGTCTGTCTGTGTGTGTCTGTGTGGTGTGTGTGTGTCTGTGTGGTGTTTGTGTGTCTGTGTGGTGTGTGAGTGTGTGTGTGGTGTGTGTGGTGTGTGTGTGTGTGTTGTATGTGTGTCTGTGTGTGTGTGCCTGTCTGTGTGGTGTGTGTGTGTCTGTCTGTGTGGTGTGTGTGTGTGTCTGTGTGGTGTGTCTGTGTGGTGTGTGTGAGTGTCTGTGTGGTGTGTGTGTGTGTCTGTGTGGTGTGTGTGTCTGTGTGGTGTGTGTGGTGTCTGTGTGGTGTGTGAGTGTGTGGTGTGTGTGTGGTGTGGTGTGTGTGTGTGGTGTGTGTCTGTGTGGTGTGTGTGTATGTGTGGTGTGTGTGTGTGGTGTGTGTGTGTCTGTGTGTGTGTCTGTGTGTGTGTCTGTGTGGTGTGTGTGGTGTGTGTGTGTCTGTGTGGTGTGTGTGTGTCTGTGTGGTGTGTGTGTGGTGTGTGTGTGGTGTGTGTCTGTGTGGTGTGTGTGTGTGTGGTGTGTGTGTCTGTGTGGTGTGTGGGTGTGTGTCTGTGTGGTGTGTGTGTGTCTGTGTGGTGTGTGTGTGTGTGTGTCTGTGTGGTGTGTGTGTGTGTCTGTGTGTGTGTGTGTCTGTGGTGTGTGTGTGTGTGTGTCAGTGTGTGTCTGTGTGGTGTGTGTGTATGTGGTGTGTGTGCGCGTGTGGTGTGTGTATGTGTGTCTGTCTGTGTGGTGTGTGTGTGTCTGTCTGTGTGGTGTGTGTGTGTGTCTGTGTGGTGTGTCTGTGTGGTGTGTGTGAGTGTCTGTGTGGTGTGTGTGTGTGTCTGTGTGGTGTGTGTGTCTGTGTGGTGTGTGTGGTGTCTGTGTGGTGTGTGAGTGTGTGGTGTGTGTGTGGTGTGGTGTGTGTGTGTGGTGTGTGTCTGTGTGGTGTGTGTGTATGTGTGGTGTGTGTGTGTGGTGTGTGTGTGTCTGTGTGTGTGTCTGTGTGTGTGTCTGTGTGGTGTGTGTGGTGTGTGTGTGTCTGTGTGTGTGTCTGTGTGGTGTGTGTGTGTCTGTGTGGTGTGTGTGTGGTGTGTGTGTGGTGTGTGTCTGTGTGGTGTGTGTGTGTCTGTGTGGTGTGTGTGTCTGTGTGGTGTGTGGGTGTGTGTCTGTGTGGTGTGTGTGTGTCTGTGTGGTGTGTGTGTGTGTGTGTCTGTGTGGTGTGTGTGTGTGTCTGTGTGTGTGTGTGTCTGTGGTGTGTGTGTGTGTGTGTCAGTGTGTGTCTGTGTGGTGTGTGTGTATGTGGTGTGTGTGTATGTGGTGTGTGTGCGCGTGTGGTGTGTGTATGTGTGTCTGTCTGTGTGGTGTGTGTGTGTCTGTGTGGTGTGTGAGTGTGTGTGTGTCTGTGTGGTGTGTGTGTCTGTCTGTGTGGTGTGTCTGTGTGTGTCTGTGTGGTGTGTGTGTCTGTGTGTGTGTGTGTCTGTGTGGTGTGTGTGTGTGTGTGTGCGCGTGTGGTGTATGTGTGTGTGTCTGTCTGTGTGTGTGTGTGTGTCGGTGTGTGTGTGTGTATCTGTGTGGTGTGTGTGCGCGTGTGGTGTGTGTGTATCTGTGTGTGTGTGTATCTGTGTGTGTATCTCCGTGTGTGTGTATCTCCGTGTGTGTGTATCTGTGTGTGTGTATCTGTGTGTGTGTATATATCTGTGTGTGTGTATATCTGTGTATGTGTATCTCCGTGTGTGTATATCTGTGTATGTGTATCTCCGTGTGTGTATATCTGTGTATGTGTATCTCCGTGTGTGTATATCTCTGTGTGTATCTCTGTGTATATCTGTGTATATATCTCTGTGTGTGTGTTTATCTCTGCGTGTATCTCCGTGTGTATATCTGTGTGTGTGTATCTGTGTGTATCTCTGTGTATCTCTGTGTATCTCCGTGTGTATATCTCTGTGTGTGTGTGTGTATATATATATCTCTGTGTGTGTGTAGCCTAGCCTGGCACAAGCGTCGTGGTGACGTCACCGCCACTTAGTGGTGAATGGCGATTGTTGTTGTATCTGTGTGTATCTCTGTGTGTGTATCTGTGTGTATATATCTCTGTGTATATCTCTGTGTGTATCTGTATGTATCTCTGTGTGTGTGTATCTCTGTGTGTTTATTTCTGTGTGTATCTCTGTGTGTGTATCTGTGTATCTCTGTGTGTATCTCTGTGTATCTGTGTGTATATATTTCTGTTTGTGTCTATCTCTGTGTGCATCTGTGTGTGTATCTCTGTGTGTATCTGTGTGTGTGTATCTATGTGTGTATCTGTGTGTGTGTATCTGTGTGTGTATCTCTGTGTGTATCTGTGTGTGTGTGTGTATCTGTGTGTATCTGTGTGTATATCTCTGTGTGTATCTCTGTGTATATCTTTGTGTGTATCTGTGTGTGTGTATCTGTGTGTGTGTATCTGTGTGTATCTGTGTGTGTCTCTGTGTGTGTGTATCTCTGTGTGTATATGTGTGTATCTGTGTATCTGTGTGTATCTGTGTGTGTGTATCTGTGTGTGTATATATCTCTGTGTGTGTATATATCTCTCTGTGTGTATATCTGTGTATCTGTGTGTATCTCTGTGCGTATCTGTGTGTGTATCTGTGTGTATCTATGTGTATCTGTGTGTGTATCTGTGTGTGTATATGTGTGTGTGTGTATCTGTGTGTGTGTGTATCTGTGTGTGTATCTGTGTATCTCTGTGTGTGTGTATCTGTGTGTGTGTATATCTCTGTGTGTGTATCTATGTGTATCTCTGTGTGTATCTGTGTGTGTATCTGTGTGTGTATCTCTGTGTGTGTATCTCCGTGTGTGTATCTGTATGTGTGTGTATATCTCTGTGTGTATCTGTGTGTGTGTGTGTATCTGTGTGTGTGTGTGTGTATCTGTGTGTGTGTGTATCTGTGTATCTGTGTGTGTGTGTATCTGTGTGTGTGTGTATCTGTATCTGTGTGTGTGTGTATCTGTATCTGTGTGTTTGTGTATCTCTGTGTGTATCTGTGTGTGTGTATCTCTGTGTGTATCTGTGTGTGTGTGTATCTGTGTGTGTGTGTATCTCTGTGTGTATCTGTGTGTGTGTGTATCTGTGTGTGTGTGTATCTCTGTGTGTATCTGTGTGTGTGTGTGTATCTGTGCGTGTGTGTATCTGTGTGTGTGTGTATCTCTGTGTGTATCTGTGTGTGTGTGTATCTGTGTGTGTGTGTATCTCTGTGTGTATCTGTGTGTGTGTGTATCTCTGTGTGTATCTGTGTGTGTGTGTATCTGTGTGTGTGTATCTCTGTGTGTATCTGTGTGTGTGTGTATCTGTGTGTGTGTGTATCTCTGTGTGTATCTGTGTGTGTGTGTATCTGTGTGTGTGTGTATCTCTGTGTGTATCTGTGTGTGTGTGTGTATCTGTGTGTATCTGTGTGTGTGTGTATCTGTGTGTGTGTGTATCTCTGTGTGTATCTGTGTGTGTGTGTATCTGTGTGTGTGTGTATCTCTGTGTGTATCTGTGTGTGTGTGTATCTGTGTGTGTGTGTATCTGTGTGTGTGTGTGTATCTCTGGGTGTATCTGTGTGTGTGTATCTGTGTGTGTGTATTGCTGTGTGTATCTGTGTGTGTGTGTATCTCTGTGTGTGTGTGTGTATCTGTGTGTGTGTGTATCTCTGTGTGTATCTGTGTGTGTGTGTATCTGTGTGTGTGTGTATCTGTGTGTGTATCTCTGTGTGTATCTGTGTGTATGTGTATCTGTGTGTGTGTGTATATCTGTGTATGTGTATCTCTGTGTGTATATCTCTGTGTGTATATCTCTGTGTGTATCTCCGTGTGTATATCTGTGTGTGTGTGTATATATATATCTCTGTGTGTGTGTAGCCTAGCCTGGCACAAGCATCGTGGTGACGTCACCGCCACTTAGTGGTGAATGGCGGTTGTTGTTGTATCTGTGTGTATCTCTGTGTGTGTATCTGTGTGTATATATCTCTGTGTGTATCTCTATGTGTTTATTTCTGTGTGTATCTGTGTGTATCTCTGTGTGTGTATCTGTGTATCTCTGTGTGTATCTCTGTGTGTATCTGTGTGTATATATCTGTGTGTGTGTGTATTTCTGTGTGTATATTTCTCTGTGTGTGTGTATCTCTGTGTGTATCTGTGTGTGTGTGTATCTCTGTGTGTATCTGTGTTTGTGTATCTATGTGTGTGTGTGTATCTGTGTGTGTATCTGTGTGTGTGTGTGTATCTGTGTGTATCTGTGTGTGTATCTCTGTGTATATCTCTGTGTGTGTATCTGTGTGTATATCTCTGTGTGTGTATCTGTGTGTGTGTATCTGTGTGTGTCTCTGTGTGTGTGTATCTCTGTGTGTATATGTGTGTATCTGTGTATCTGTGTGTGTATCTGTGTGTATGTATCTGTGTATATCTCTGTGTGTGTGTATCTGTGTGTGTGTATCTGTGTGTGTATATGTCTCTGTGTGTGTATATATCTCTGTGTGTATATATCTCTGTGTGTATATCTGTGTGTGTATCTGTGTGTATCTCTGTGTGTGTATCTCTGTGTGTATCTCTGTGTATGTATCTGTGTGTGTATCTGTGTGTATATGTATCTGTGTGTATCTCTGTGTGTGTATCTGTGTGTGTGTATCTCTCTGTGTATCTATGTGTATCTGTGTGTGTGTATCTGTGTGTGTGTATGTGTGTGTGTATCTGTGTGTGTGTGTATCTGTGTGTGTGTGTGTATCTGTGTGTGTGTGTGTATCTGTGTGTGTGTATCTGTGTGTGTGTATCTGTGTGTGTGTATCTGTGTGTGTGTATGTGTGTGTGTATCTGTGTGTGTGTGTATCTGTGTGTGTGTGTGTATCTGTGTGTGTGTATCTCCGTGTGTGTATCTGTGTGTGTGTATCTGTGTGTGTGTGTATCTGTGTGTGTGTATATCTCTGTGTGTGTATCTCTGTGTGTGTGTGTGTATCCCACCAGGCCGGGGTGCAGCTTGCCCCTGCTGTGTGTGTGTATCTGTGTGTGTGTGTGTATCTGTGTGTGTGTATCTCTCTGTGTGTATCTGTGTGTGTGTATCTGTATCTCTGTGTGTCTCTCCGTGTATCCCACCAGGCCGGGGTGCAGCTTGCCCCTGCTGTGCGTGTGTATCTGTGTGTGTGTATATCTCTGTGTGTGTATCTCTGTGTGTATCTCTGTGTGTGTATCTGTGTGTATCTCTGTGTGTGTGTGTATCCCACCAGGCCGGGGTGCAGCTTGCCCCTGCTGTGCGTGTGTATCTGTGTGTGTGTATATCTCTGTGTGTATCTGTGTGTGTGTGTGTGTGTGTATCTCTGTGTGTATCTCTGTGTGTGTGTGTGTATCTCTGTGTGTGTGTATCCCACCAGGCCGGGGTGCAGCTTGCCCCTGCTGTGCGTGTGTATCTGTGTGTGTGTATGTGTATCTCTGTGTGTGTATCTCTGTGTGTGTGTGTGTGTATATCTCTGTGTGTGTGTGTATCCCACCAGGCCGGGGTGCAGCTTGCCCCTGCTGTGCGTGTGTATCTGTGTGTGTGTGTGTGTATCTCTGTGTGTGTGTATCTGTGTGTGTGTGTGTATCTGTGTGTGTGTATGTCCCACCAGGCCGGGGTGCAGCTTGCCCCTGCTGTGCGTGTGTATCTGTGTGTGTGTGTATCTCTGTGTGTGTGTATCTCTGTGTGTATCTGTGTGTATATCTCTGTGTGTGTGTGTGTCCCACCAGGCCGGGGTGCAGCTTGCCCCTGCTGTGCGTGTGCGTGCACCCCAGCCAGCCCCACGTCGTGGCGGTGGGTGGCGAAGACGGCACTCTGCAGCTGTGGGACGTGCGTCAGCGGCAAGCCCCCACCGCCCTGCTGCAGGGGCACACGGCCGAGAGTACGCCGTGCACACCACGCTCGCCACGCCGTGCACACCACACTCGCCACGCCGTGCACATCACACACACCACGCACACCACACACCACGCGCACCACACACACACACCACACACACACGCCACACACACCACGCTCGCCACGCCGTGCACACCACGCTCGCCACGCCGTGCACACCACACACACACGCCACGCCGTGCACACCACGCTCGCCACGCCGTGCACATCACACACACCACGCACACCACACACGCCGTGCACACCACACACACACACCACACACACACGCCACACACACCACGCTCGCCACGCCGTGCACACCACACACACACACCACGCACCACGCACACCACACACGCCGTGCACACCACGCCACGCCGATGTCACGCGGGAATTCATAGCAGCGCCCAAGCACCGACCTGAACGTGTCGGAGACGTTGATTCGAAAATGAGGGAGGGGAAAAAGCCGGACGACCCGGAGAACAATCCGGCGCGACCACAGGGAGAGAGCGAGAGACGCAGGCTCCAAATATGCTGCCGGGGTGAGGGGGCTTCGAACCCAGGGCCTCCTGAGTACCTGGCAAGGGAGTTAACATCCAGCCACTGCGGTGCCCCAGTCGACGCAGACGACGCAGTCGACGCAGCCAGTTCAAGTGATGCAGACACAGACGGTACAGACGATGCAGACGCTGCCGACGCAGACGGTCCAGATGATTCAGACGTTCCAGACAATGCAGACGCATACGGTCCAGATGACACAGACGGTACAGACGTTCCAGACAATGCAGACGCAGACGGTCCAGATGACGCAGACGATGCAGATGACGCAGATGATTCAGACGGTCGATATGATGCAGACGGTTCAGACGATGCAGACGTTCCAGACGATGCAGACGTTCCAGACGATGCAGACGTTCCAGATGACGCAGACGTTCCAGATGACGCAGACGTTCCAGACGATGCAGACGTTCCAGACGATGCAGACGTTCCAGATGACGCAGACGTTCCAGACGATGCAGACGTTCCAGACGATGCAGACGTTCCAGACGATGCAGACGTTCCAGACAACGCAGACGATGTAGACGACACAGACGATGTAGACGACACAGACGACGCAGATGATGCAGACGTTCCAGACGATGCAGACGTTCCAGATGACGCAGAGACGACGCAGAGACGACGCAGACTCGCCGCCGCGACGTCTCCCGTTGCGTTGTCCTAAGCGCGTTTGTTTCTGCTTAGTTTGCTAGTTTCTCGGTCCCCTTGTCCCCGGCTAGGGTCGCTGCGAGCGGTGGCACCTCCCCTCGCCCCCGCCCCCCTCCCCTCCCCTCCCCCCCCGCCCCCCCCGCCTTGTGTTTATTTTGAGTCGTTTGCCTGCCTCGCACCTTTGCACATCGCACCGTTCGCTCTGGCGACGACCTCCCGACGACCCCCGCCGCGTCCCGACCGCCAGACGCCTGCGATTACGAGGGACAGGCAAAACAAGCAAAAAACAAATGTAGCTTTACATTATGAGACCTCCTTTGCCAGTAACAAGATATAGGAATAGGTTTTTACCCTTTGTAACTGGCACAAAAAAACTGACTGTAGCCTCGTAGCTGATCGGATTTTGCACGCGTGCGCGCGCAGTGTGGGAGGTGCAGTTCCACCCGACGGCCCCCGAGAACCTCTTCACGTGCTCGCAGGACGGCTCCCTGTGGCACTGGAGGGTGAACGACGGCTTCTCGCAGTCAGGTAAGGCGCCACACCCGCCGCACGGACGAATGTCTCCCAGTCCGTAGCCTACCGAGGCCTTCTCAGGGCCAGGTGAGGCACCACACCCGCAGCACGGACGAATGTCTCCCAGTCCGTAGCCTACCGAGGCCTTCTCAGGGCCAGGTGAGGCACCACACCACAGCTCACGAATGTCTCCCAGTCCGTAGCCTACCGAGGCCTTCTCGCAGTCAGGTGAGGCACCACACCCGCAGCACGGACGAATGTCTCCCAGTCCGTAGCCTACCGAGGCCTTCTCACGGCCAGGTGAGGCACACCACAGCTCACGAATGTCTCCCAGTCCGTAGCCTACCGAGGCCTTCTCAGGGCCAGGTGAGGCACACCGCAGCTCACGAATGTCTCCCAGTCCGTAGCCTACCGAGGCCTTCTCAGGGCCAGGTGAGGCACCACACCCGCAGCACGGACGAATGTCTCCCAGTCCGTAGCCTACCGAGGCCTTCTCACGGTCAGGTGAGGCACACCACAGCTCACGAATGTCTTCACGTCCGTAGCCTACTGAGGCCTTCTCAGGGCCAGGTGAGGCGCCACACCCGCCGCACGGACGAATGTCTCCCAGTCCGTAGCCTACCGAGGCCTTCTCAGGACCAGGTGAGGCACCACACCCGCAGCACGGACGAATGTCTCCCAGTCCGTAGCCTACTGAGGCCTTCTCACGGCCAGGTGAGGCACACCACAGCTCACGAATGTCTCCCAGTCCGTAGCCTACCGAGGCCTTCTCAGGGCCAGGTGAGGCACACCGCAGCTCACGAATGTCTCCCAGTCCGTAGCCTACCGAGGCCTTCTCAGGGCCAGGTGAGGCACCACACCCGCAGCACGGACGAATGTCTCCCAGTCCGTAGCCTACCGAGGCCTTCTCAGGACCAGGTGAGGCACCACACCCGCAGCACGGACGAATGTCTCCCAGTCCGTAGCCTACCGAGGCCTTCTCGCAGCCAGGTAAGGCACCACACCCGCAGCACGGACGAATGTCTCCCAGTCCGTAGCCTACCGAGGCCTTCTCAGGGCCAGGTGAGGCGCCACACCGCAGCACGGACGAATGTCTCCCAGTCCGTAGCCTACCGAGGCCTTCTCAGGGCCAGGTGAGGCACCACACCACAGCACGGACGAATGTCTCCAGTCCGTAGCCTACTGAGGCCTTCTCACGGTCAGGTGAGGCACACCGCACGAATGTCTTCACATCCGTAGCCTACCGAGGCCTTCTCACGGTTAGGTGAGGCACCACACCCGCAGCACGCACGAATGTCTCCAGTCCGTAGCCTACCGAGGCCTTCTCAGGGCCAGGTGAGGCACCACACCGCAACGGACGAATGTCTTCACGTCCGTAGCCTACCGAGGTCTTCTCACGGTCAGGTGAGGCACACCACAGCTCACGAATGTCTCCCAGTCCGTAGCCTACCGAGGCCTTCTCAGGGCCAGGTGAGGCACCACACCGCAGCACGGACGAATGTCTCCCGTCTGTAGCCTACCGAGGCCTTCTCAGGGCCAGGTGAGGCACACCGCAGCTCACGAATGTCTCCAGTCTGTAGCCTACTGAGGCCTTCTCACGGTCAGGTGAGGCACACCGCAGCTCACAAATGTCTCCAGTCTGTAGCCTACTGAGGCCTTCTCAGGGCCAGGTGAGGCACACCGCAGCTCACGAATGTCTTCCAGTCCGTAGCCTACTGAGGCCTTCTCACGGCCAGGTGAGGCACACCGCAGCTCACGAATGTCTTCACGTCCGTAGCCTACCGAGGCCTTCTCACGGTCAGGTGAGGCACACCGCAGCATGGACGAATGTCTTCAGTCCGTAGCCTACCGAGGCCTTCTCAGGGCCAGGTGAGGCACACCACAGCTCACGAATGTCTCCCAGTCCGTAGCCTACTGAGGTCTTCTCAGGGCCAGGTGAGGCACACCACAGCTCACGAATGTCTTCAGTCCGTAGCCTACCGAGGCCTTCTCAGGGCCAGGTGAGGCACACCACAGCTCACGAATGTCTCCCAGTCCGTAGCCTACCGAGGTCTTCTCACGGCCAGGTGAGGCACCACACCGCAGCTCACGAATGTCTCCAGTCTGTAGCCTACTGAGGCCTTCTCACGGCGAGGTGAGGCACACCGCACGCACGAATGTCTCCCAGTCCGTAGCCTACTGAGGCCTTCTCACGGTCAGGTGAGGCACACCGCAACGGACGAATGTCTTCACGTCCGTAGCCTACCGAGGCCTTCTCAGGGCCAGGTGAGGCACCACACCGCAACGGACGAATGTCTTCACGTCCGTAGCCTACCGAGGTCTTCTCACGGTCAGGTGAGGCACACCACAGCTCACGAATGTCTCCCAGTCCGTAGCCTACCGAGGCCTTCTCAGGGCCAGGTGAGGCACCACACCGCAGCACGGACGAATGTCTCCCGTCTGTAGCCTACCGAGGCCTTCTCAGGGCCAGGTGAGGCACACCGCAGCTCACGAATGTCTCCAGTCTGTAGCCTACTGAGGCCTTCTCACAGTCAGGTGAGGCACACCGCAGCTCACGAATGTCTCCAGTTCGTAGCCTACTGAGGCCTTCTCAGGGCCAGGTGAGGCACACCGCAGCTCACAAATGTCTTCCAGTCCGTAGCCTACTGAGGCCTTCTCAGGGCCAGGTGAGGCACACCACAGCTCACGAATGTCTCCCAGTCCGTAGCCTACTGAGGCCTTCTCAGGGCCAGGTGAGGCACACCGCAGCTCACGAATGTCTTCCAGTCCGTAGCCTACCGAGGCCTTCTCACGGCCAGGTGAGGCACACCGCAGCTCACGAATGTCTCCCAGTCCGTAGCCTACTGAGGCCTTCTCACGGTCAGGTGAGGCACACCGCACGAATGTCTTCAGTCCGTAGCCTACTGAGGCCTTCTCACGGCCAGGTGAGGCACACCACAGCTCACGAATGTCTCCCAGTCCGTAGCCGACTGAGGCCTTCTCACGGTCAGGTGAGGCACCACACCCGCAGCACGCACGAATGTCTCCCAGTCCGTAGCCTACTGAGGCCTTCTCACGGTCAGGTGAGGCACCACACCACAGCTCACGAATGTCTCCAGTCTGTAGCCTACTGAGGCCTTCTCACAGCCAGGTGAGGCACACCACAGCTCACGAATGTCTCCAGTCTGTAGCCTACTGAGGCCTTCTCAGGGCCAGGTGAGGCACACCGCAGCTCACGAATGTCTCCCAGTCCGTAGCCTACTGAGGCCTTCTCAGGGCCAGGTGAGGCACACCACAGCTCACGAATGTCTTCACGTCCGTAGCCTACCGAGGCCTTCTCACGGTCAGGTGAGGCACACCGCAGCTCACGAATGTCTCCCAGTCCGTAGCCTACCGAGGCCTTCTCAGGGCCAGGTGAGGCACACCGCACGCACGAATGTCTCCCAGTCCGTAGCCTACCGAGGCCTTCTCAGGGCCAGGTGAGGCACACCGCAGCTCACGAATGTCTCCCAGTCCGTAGCCTACCGAGGCCTTCTCAGGGCCAGGTGAGGCACACCGCAGCTCACGAATGTCTCCCAGTCCGTGGCCTACCGAGGCCTTCTCAGGGCCAGGTGAGGCACACCACAGCTCACGAATGTCTTCAGTCCGTAGCCTACTGAGGCCTTCTCACAGCCAGGTGAGGCACACCACAGCTCACGAATGTCTTCACGTCCGTAGCCTACCGAGGCCTTCTCACGGTCAGGTGAGGCACACCACAGCTCACGAATGTCTTCAGTCCGTAGCCTACTGAGGCCTTCTCACAGCCAGGTGAGGCACACCACAGCTCACGAATGTCTTCACGTCCGTAGCCTACCGAGGCCTTCTCACGGTCAGGTGAGGCACACCACAGCTCACGAATGTCTCCCAGTCCGTAGCCTACTGAGGCCTTCTCACAGCCAGGTGAGGCACACCACAGCTCACGAATGTCTCCAGTCTGTAGCCTACTGAGGCCTTCTCAGGGTCAGGTGAGGCGAGCCGCAGCACGGACGAATGTCTTCCCGTTTTAACCGACCGTTTGTGTTGCTTTATATAGTTTCCAAATTTTGCTAAACCCTGTTTTTATTTAGTGTGATGTTCCGTCTCTTTGTGTCACCTGGTATATCTGTGTTAATTCCCCCTACTTAAGGTCTGTGTGTATATATATCTCTGTGGTTATGTGTTTCCTCTACCCGATGATGATTGCTTGTGTTGCGATCGGAACGTCGTGTGCTATTATGTTATTTTATTTTTTATTCTTTCTATTATTTCTACGTGACTTTACCGAAAAAACCACCAAAGAGTGATTCCTGCAGTCACGAAGCGCCTAATCAGGTTCGTCTTCCCGTCCGTAGCCTACCGAGGCCCTCTCACGGCCAGGTGGGGCAACGGACGAAGGCACACGGAAGTGGGGGGTGGGTGGCCAGCACCGACCCCCCCCCCCGAGCCGCCCTCGTCTCGAAACAGTTCAATTTGTTTTTGGTTACTCTTTGGTTTTTTTCGGTAAAGTCACGTAGAAATAATAAAAATAATTTTAAAAAAATAAAATTACGTAATAGCATACGACGTTTCGATCGCAACACAAGCAATCATCATCAGGCAGGGGAAACGCATAACCGCAGAGATATATATATATACACAGACCTTAAGTGGGGGGAATTAACTCAGATAATACCAGGGGACACGGAGAGACGGAGCATCACACTAAATCAAACGGGGTTTAGCAAAATTTGGAAACTATATAAAGCAACACAAACGGTCGGTTAAAACACAATTTAACGCATGGTTTGGTTGAATACGCTGTTTCAAAGATTGTTGAATCTTTTTTTTTTGGTTCTTTCGGTAAAGTCACGTAAAATGAAATGAATGTAATTTATTTTATTTTTTTGTACCTACTACTTGACTTCCCCGAAAGAACCAAAGAGTGGTTCCTTGCAGTCACGAAAACTTCAAATCTAGAGTTTAATAGTTGCATGGTTTGTGGTGGCCCCACCTGGCCGTGAGAAGGCCAACGTAGGGCGCTGCTGTGAGTGTGAGTGTACCGGTGAGCGAGTGTACCGGTGAGTGAGCGAGTGTACCGGTGAGCGAGTGTACCGGTGAGTGAGCGAGTGTACCGGTGAGTGAGTGTACCGGTGTGAGCGAGTGTACCGGTGTTAGCAAGTGTACTGGTGAGTGTACCGGTGAGTGTACCGGTGAGTGAGCGAGTGTACTGGTGAGTGAGTGTACCGGTGTGAGCGAGTGTACCGGTGAGTGAGCGCGCGTACCGGTGAGTGAGCGCGCGTACCGGTGAGTGAGCGAGTGTATCGGTGAGTGAGCGCGTGTACCGGTGAGTGAGCGAGTGTACCGGTGAGTGAGCGCGTGTACCGGTGAGTGAGCGAGTGTACCGGTGAGTGAACGCGCGTACCGGTGAGTGAACGCGCGTACCGGTGAGTGAACGCGCGTACCGGTGAGTGAGCGCGTGTACCGGTGAGTGAGCGCGTGTACCGGTGAGTGAGCGAGCGTACCGGTGTGAGTGAGCGTACCGGTGAGCGAGCGAAGGTACCGGCGAGTGAGCGGGCGTACCGGCGAGTGAGCGGGCGTACCGGCGAGTGAGCGGGCGTACCGGTGTGAGCGAGCGTACCGGTGAGCGAGCGCGTGTACCGGTGTGAGTGAGCGCGTGTACCGGCGAGTGAGCGCGTATCAGCGCTGCACCACCCACCCCCCCCCCCCCGCCCCGCCTCTCTCGTTCCCCCCCCCTTTTAGTCGCTAGGCCCGGTGCTGTCCCCACGGCCCCTCCCGGGCCGGCCTCCCCCGGCTCCGTCTCGTCGGCCGTGGCGGCCCAGCCAGCTCGGCCCGGGCGGGCAGGGGGCGGCTGCGGCTGGCTGGGCCACCCGTCCACGTCGGGGCTGCTCATCGACAGCCTCCTGCCGCCCGTGGGGGCCCCGCTCAACGGGCTGGACGCGGCGGGGACGCGGCTCGTGTGCGGCGGAGACACCGAGAAGGTTTACGTGTGCACCGGCATCGCCGCTCACTGACGGGCGGCGGCGGCGGCGGCGGCGGCAGCTGCTCCTGAGTCGTCGTCTTCAGCGTGTGCGGTGACTGAGGCTGAGTCTGAGTCAACGTCTTCAGCGTGTGCGGTGACTGAGACTGAGTCTGAGTCAACGTCTTCAGCGTGTGCGGTGACTGAGACTGAGTCTGAGTCAACGTCTTCAGCGTGTGCGGTGACTGAGTCTGAGTCAACGTCTTCAGCGTGTGTGGTGACTGAGTCTGAGTCGTCGTCTTCAGCGTGTGTGGTGTCTGAGTCATCGTCTTCAGCGTGTGCAGAGTCTGAGTCAACGTCTTCAGCGTGTGCAGAGTCTGAGTCAACGTCTTCAGCATGTGCGGTGACTGAGTCTGAGTCAACGTCTTCAGCGTGTGCTGTGACTGAGTCTGAGTCAACGTCTTCAACGTGTGTGGTGACTGAGTCTGAGTCATCGTCTTCAGCGTGTGAGGTGACTGAGTCTGAGTCATCGTCTTCAGCGTGTGAGGTGACTGAGTCTGAGTCATCGTCTTCAGCGTGTGCGGTGACTGAGTCTGAGTCAACGTCTTCAGCGTGTGCGGTGACTGAGTCTGAGTCAACGTCTTCAGCGTGTGCGGTGACTGAGTCTGAGTCAACGTCTTCAGTGTGTGCGGTGACTGAGTCTGAGTCAACGTCTTCAGCGTGTGAGGTGACTGAGTCTGAGTCATCGTCTTCAGCGTGTGCTGTGACTGAGTCTGAGTCAACGTCTTCAGCATGTGTGGTGACTGAGTCTGAGTCAACGTCTTCAGCGTGTGCGGTGACTGAGGCTGAGTCTGAGTCATCGTCTTCAGCGTGTGCGGTGACTGAGTCAACGTCTTCAGCGTGTGCGGTGACTGAGTCTGAGTCAACGTCTTCAGCGTGTGAGGTGACTGAGTCTGAGTCATCGTCTTCAGCGTGTGCTGTGACTGAGTCTGAGTCAACGTCTTCAGCATGTGTGGTGACTGAGTCTGAGTCAACGTCTTCAGCGTGTGCGGTGACTGAGGCTGAGTCTGAGTCATCGTCTTCAGCGTGTGCGGTGACTGAGTCAACGTCTTCAGCGTGTGCGGTGACTGAGTCTGAGTCAACGTCTTCAGCGTGTGAGGTGACTGAGTCTGAGTCAACGTCTTCAGCGTGTGCGGTGACTGAGTCTGAGTCGTCGTCTTCAGCGTGTGCGGTGACTGAGTCTGAGTCTGAGTCAACGTCTTCAGCGTGTGCGGTGACTGAGTCTGAGTCAACGTCTTCAGCGTGTGAGGTGACTGAGTCTGAGTCAACGTCTTCAGCGTGTGAGGTGACTGAGTCTGAGTCGTCGTCTTCAGCGTGTGTGGTGACTGAGTCTGAGTCAACGTCTTCAGCGTGTGCGGTGACTGAGTCTGAGTCAACGTCTTCAGCGTGTGCGGTGACTGAGTCTGAGTCTTCAGCGTGTCTGAGTCTGAGTCAACGTCTTCAGCGTGTGCGATGTCTGAGTCTGAGTCAACGTCTTCAGCGTGTGAGGTGACTGAGTCTGAGTCAACGTCTTCAGCATGTGCGGTGACTGAGTCTGAGTCAACGTCTTCAGCGTGTCTGAGTCTGAGTCAACGTCTTCAGCGTGTGCGGTGACTGAGTCTGAGTCAACGTCTTCAGCGTGTGCGGTGTCTGAGTCTGAGTCGTCGTCTTCAGCCCGCGGATTGCCACCACCACGTGACTTAACCCCGGTCCCGCAGCCTCTTTGGTTCGCACCTGAGAGTGAGTAGCCGCGTGTGTGTGTGCGTGTGTGTGTGTGTTCGTGTGTGTGTGTGTGAGCGTGTGTGCGTGTGTGTGCGTGTGTGTGTGCGTGTGTGTGTGCATGTGTGGGTGTCTGTGCGTGCATGTGTGTGTGTGTGCGTGCGTGTGCGTGTGTCTGTCCGCGTGTGTGTGGACCGGTAGTGGTGGCGGGTTAGCGCTACGCTGCGCCACAAACCCGGAGACCCGAGTTGGATTCCCGCTCACGGCCGACATCAGTGCCTGTAGTTTGAACCGGTCCTGGGCCTCCCCTAGGCGCAACTCGAACGAGAGCCTGGCGTAGCGGTGTGTGAAATCATCGCCACTGACCTCTCTTGTGCCGCGCCGGCCTTCATAGGCGCTCTTGCCCCAACAGTCTGTTACGGGCTATACGGGGGATCTTTGTCTTTGGGGCGCAGCAGTGGCGAGATGTTCGCTCCCTGGCGTGTAGGTTCCGATCCTGTCGACGCCCGTTCTTATATTTGGAGTCATCATCATCACGGTTGGTTAGGAGATGTTAACTCCCTCGCCTGGTGTGCAGGAGGTTGTGGGTTCCGATCTCGACCCTGAAGACGCCTGTTATTATATTTGGAGTCTGCGTCTCTCTCTCATCATCATCATCACGGTTGGTTAGGAGATGTTAACTCCCTCGCCTGGTGTGCAGGAGGTCGTGGGTTCCCATCCTGACCCTGAAGACGCCTGTTATTATATTTGGAGTCTGCATCTCTCTCTCATCATCATCATCATCATCACGGTGGTTAGGAGATGTTAACTCCCTTGCCTGGTATGCAGGAGGTCGTGGGTTCCCATCCCGACCCTGAAGACGCCTGTTATTATATTGGGAGTCTGCGTCTCTCTCATCATCATCATCATCACGGTGGTTAGGAGATGTTAACTCCCTTGCCTGGTATGCAGGAGTTTGTGGGTTGCGATTCCGACCCTGACGACGCCTGTTATTATATTTGGAGTCTGCGTCTCTCTTTGTCCCCGTGGTGGTCGCGTGGATTTGTCTCTCCGGGTTCTCATCTGGATTTTTCCCCATCCGCATTCAGAATCGCTGTCACGCGTTGAGACCGTTTCGACCGCCAGTGTAACCCCTGGGTAGGCTTTCGCGACCAATATCATCCACAATCGAGGTTTTTTATGGGGGTTAAGCCGCGGAAATACACAAACCTTAAAATTTAGATTTGAAGCTTTCGCGACTGCAGTGATTCATATTCTTGGTTCTTTCGGTAAAGTCACCACCACGTTGAAGGGAAACGATAAAATAATAAAAATATATTTATATAAAACAATAAAATTCTCACGACGTTTCGACTGCAACGCAAGCAGTCATCATCAGGTGTGAAAATCAACGGCAAGAAACATTTTGATTTAAAGCTTTCGTGACTGCAGTGATTCATATTCTTGGCTCTTTCGGTAAAGTCACCACCACGTAGAAGGGAAACAATAAGATAATAAAAATATATATGTAAAACAATAAAATTCTCACGACGTTTCGACTGCAACGCAAGCAGTCATCATCAGGTGTGAAAATCAACGGCACTTGGTTGAGCTGCCATCGCTTGTGGTAGAGCCACGTGTCGCAAAGATCTGCACGCTCGTTGGCTCTATTGGGTAAAGTCACGTAGGTAAAAAATAAAGTGACGAAAAAAATCACGACGTTTCCCGCCACAACACAAGCGGCCTTCATCAGGTGAAGGGGAACGAGACTGTCTGGTAGGGACAGCGCTGGAGCTTGGATCCTTGCAGTCACGAAAGCTTTAAATCTAGAAGAGCTGCTTGGCTTGGTGGTGGCGATTGTGGTGCTGGGCCCTTGCACCCGGCAACGGTGAAAATAGTTGAGTTTGAATATCCGCGTCTGCCGAAACGGTCGCGAACGCTCGCCCCGTGTGTGCGCCCTCCCCGTGCGCATCGGAGAAGGTTTTGCCCCCTTCCTGCGTTTTAGCCGAAGGGGGGGGGGGGGATCAGAAGTGGCGGGGGGGGGGCGGGGGCGGACGTTCAATGTGCTCGGTACAATAAACGCCGTTCCCTCGCACCCAGGTTCCCGCGCGTTTGATTTCCGTCTCTGCGAGTTGAGTGCTTGCGGTGTGCGTTGCTCGGCACCACGTCCGGAAGGGGAGAAGAGCGGGCGGGCGAGCGAGCGGGCGGGCGGGCGACCGTAGGAGTGAGGAAAATGCTCCGCCGCAGAAGAGCTGACGATGACGACGATGATGCAGATGCAGGCCGGGCCAGGCCGGGCCAGGCCAGGCAGCGATGAGGAGGAAGCCGGCCACTTATTTGGACACAACGGAACTGTCGGAAGTGGATTTGAATCCAACGCCGCCCCGCGGTGCACTGTGAAGCTGCTGATCAACACAGAGCCGCACTCCATAGGATGGGTGCATGCGATCTCACAAATACTCTCCCCCGGCGTCGGTGATATTCAAAGGCTGGAAAAAGTACGCGAACCCAGGTTTTCAATCTTGGCAGCCTAGGGATTTACACCGCAGGGCTATGACGCAGCTGTACGTCACTCAGTTCCCCCGGGAACCCTCAAGTACTCTCGCTGGCGTCGGTGGCATCCAAAGGCAGTCCAAAGAAAGAAAATTGACGCTGCGATGAACCCCGGATTTGAACCCGGGCGACAAACTCGGCAGGCCCGACGTTTACACCGGCCACCCAGCTGCCGCCGTACGGCCCCGGTGCCTGGAACTCTTCGTGTTCAGTTTGTTGTCCATTCCCCCGCACTTTTACCGGTCGCACGTTGGCCATGTGCGGTGCGGAAGGAAGTTCAACGTGCGTGTGTAATGACGGTAGAGTCAACCTATGGCAGTGGTGGGAAAGTTGTTTCGACTCGCGGGCCACTCGTGGGTTCTAAAATTTGACGAGAGGGGCCGGGGCCGGGCCAGGAGCAGATGGACGGAGCGTTTTACGTGAAAGGGTTTGGCCCTTTATCGGGTAGCAAAGCGTTTATTTGCAAGGCAAATTTAACGAATTGCACGGACGTGAACGATACAAAAAAAACCACGTCGCAAAACCCCGGTCAAAGTGCGCCATCTAATGGGGGAAATGTGGGCACTACAGGAGAAAGGTAAAATTTAATTTAATAATTATTATTCTATTTGGACAAGTTCGGCGGGCCGGATTAAAAAGCCCCAACGGGCCGTGCTTTGCCCGCGTCCGACCTACGGTGTTGAGTGGACTCGCGGCCACGGGAGGTTGATCACAGGGGAGTCGGCTCGCGGTACGAATGGACCCGCTGGCTCCGGGAGCGGCCGAGGAACGGGAGCGCGACCCGGG